GGGCGGCAGGCCCCTCCCACAGGAAGTGGTCAGGGAGGAAAGGCTGCCCTTCTGCCCCAGGGGAACATCCTCCAGACCTGGGTCCAAGGTCTCCAGACAGGCTGTCTTGGGACACCCAGGCTCAGCTGAGCCTTGGAGCTGTGCAGACACTGACTGCCCAGCCATGGCCAAGGTAAGTTCCATTACCTCAGGTTGATTCCCGCAGGTGAGCCCAGCAGCCTCCTTGGCTACCCTAACCTGGGGTGGAGAGAGAGGTGTGTGTGTGCGTGTGTGCGCATGTATGTCCCCATTTGGTCTGGGTGCCAAGAAAGAGCACAGCCTCTGAGGGCCTTCTTCTGAGCCTCTCTGCCTGAGTTCTGAGTCTAGCTGCCTGGATCTGAGCCCCACTGCCTAGATTCTGAGCCCCATTGTCTAGGTTCTGAGCCTTGCTGTCTAGGTTCTGAGCCCCACTATCTAGATTCTGAGCCCCACTGTCTAGGTTTTTTGCCCAGCTCTCTAGGTTCTGGGCCTACTGCCTGGATATGAGCAGTTTGAATCACTGTATCTGTGTGAACACCCAGCACCCAACAGGTACCCAAGCCGACCTTCCCCTCCCAGGAGAACCACAGAGTTGGCAGGAGCACCCCACTTCCTGGGCAGCCTCAGGCCTCACTGTGGTCAGAGGCCTGACTCCCCCCAGGGCTCGCACCCTTGCAGGCCTGGCCTGAGAATCCCTGTAGTAGCCCCACCCCAGCAGACAGTGGAGGGGTGGCAGCTGCTAAGGAGGAGCCAGTGGCATTTCCTTGCCATGGGCCAAGCACTCACCCTTGATTTCCATACTTGGTGAGATGAGTAACTCTTCTGGGGCTCTAATGTTTGTGAGTGGAGTGGTGATGTGGGGCCTTCACTGCCTTGCCTGGACCAGCCACCATGGAACCCCTCCCCTGCCCACCCCATGCTTTTGTGCTCTGCCCCACCCCTCTACATCCAAACCCCACCTGCTCAGGGTCACCTGGGTCCCACCTTGTCCTTACCAGTGACCTTCAACACAGCACTACACTCTCAGAGCTTCCGTTTCCTATGTGTGTCTTTGGTACCCACCTGGAAGCCAGTGCCCCTCAGTGTCTATCACCTATGGCTGAGGTTGGTGGCCCTGGAACCCTCTGCAAGGCTGAAGGTCTCTCCCCCAGTGCTCTCAGAGCCTGTGAGATCCTGCCCGGTGCTCCCACTGCAACAGGAACATTCTGAGGGGTAGGTCCTGGGGCCAGCATGCCCCTGGGTGGCCACTAGAGAGCAAGGCACTGGCAGCTGGCCAACAGGACTGGCTCCCCTACTCAGACTCTCTCTTCGTCCTCTGTGTCCACTCCCTACAGGTGTGTCTGAGGTGGCCCAGGGGTGCACAAACCATAGACCATCCTCATTTCTTCCAGTGGAAATCAAGCTGCTCGCTCAAGGCAGGCTGAGATTAGAATCAATGGTGGGGGGTGAGGCAGGGGCTGCAACCTGGGGAAGGGGAGGGTGCTCTGGGCTGGTTCAGCTCAAGATGGGGCAAAAGTGCATCCAGGATACCGGACTCTAGAGAAGGCCCCACACAAGTGGGATGGAGGACATGCTCCATTCCACAGAGCATGGTCCCCACAGGGGTAACCTCGGCCACATGGGCCCCAGAAGGCTGCCTGCACATTCCAGGGAGACCAGTTGTCCCCTGTGGTCACAGCAGCATCTGTGATATGGCAGGACTCCAGGCTGAAGGTCACAGGTTGCAGGGTGACCTTCCAGGGACAACTTCAAGCCCAAGAACAACATGGCTCCCAGCCCATCACTGCCCTCTAACCTCCAGCCTCCAAGGGTCCCATCCCGCCTCCCATCCTCCTGGCTATTGTCTGTGACCCCACTGGGCAGCCCACTCACCACTTCAACCATCCTAGACCCAACTCAGACCCTAACCAGGTACCATCTCAAGATGAGGGATGGGCTACCTCTGACTGGGTGGCTGGACGGAGAGGCTGGCTAAAGGGGGTCACTTTGTTCATAATGTTTACAGCTGTGTTTATGAAGGTTGCTGGTCTGTAGTTGTTTCTCTTGCAATGGCTGCACTGGTTTGGGTATCAGGGTGATGCTGGCCTCCTAGGTAACTGGGCAATGTTCCCTAGTTTCTGGATGGGGTTGTATGAAATCGGTATTATTTTTTCTTTAAGTGCTTTGTAGATTCACTGGCGTGTTCTTTGTGGGAAGATTTTTAGCTACAATTTCAAATTCTTCAAAAGACAGAGGGATAATCAACTTATAGACGGGGAGGGGCAAAAGTAGGTTTACAGTTGTGCATATGGAAAATAGTACAATAATTAATAAATAATAATACAAGAACAAACTGTTTCGAGTACTCACAACTGCAGGCCTACTTTTGCCCCACCCTGCATTTCTTCTTGAGTGAGCATTGCTCCTTGAGTCTTTGAAGGAATTCGCCGTGTCATCTAGTTACAGCATGGATTGGCGTAATGTTAATAATGTTTCCTTATTACCCTTCCAACTTTGTGAAGACCTGTCATAATTCCTCTTTCTCCTCTCTGATGCTGGTGATTTGTCTCCTCTCTTTTCTTTCCCATCAATCTGGTGAGGGGGTTAAAAATCTTATGATATTCTCAGAGAATCAGATTTTGGTTTGATTGGTCTCTATTGTTTTTATTTCATTGATTTTTTTTTGCTCTATTTTATTATTCTTTATTTTGCTTACTTTGGGTTTGATTTGCCTTTTCTGTTCCAGTTTCAGAAGTTGAAGCTTATTAGGTCATTGTGTTGAGACTGAAAAATGATTAAAAGAAGCCTTACTAAAATGTAGTCTGGAGTCCAGAAGGGGGCGCTCTCACACCAACCATGCGAGTCAGCTACAGGGTCAAGTACAGACCAGTGAGGAAGCGTCACCACAAAGAATCCTCAATTACTGGTCCAACAGCAAAAGAAGCGCATTGCATCTTCTACGACGAACCAACCACCCAGCAGCCCAGACCCTGACAAACTGCGAACTTTCGCTTTCCCCCCATGGGCTTTCATGCAAAAAAATCCCTCTCAACTTTTTCCTTTATCTTCATAAAATATCCCTCTCCTGTTTCTTGAACTTGCCCAGGGCTTTTGCTATAGATTGCTTGTCCGGAATAAACCCATTTTTTTGCTGCTAATTAATTGTTTTATTTTTAAAGTCAACAAGATTTTTTTTTTCCTAATACAAGCATTAGTGCTAAAACTTACCTTCTAAACACTGCTTTATTTAGCTGCATTCACACTGATATAGTTCTCATTTTCATTCCATTGGAACGACTTTCTAATTTCCTTTAAAATTTCTCCTTTGACCCACAAGTTATTTAGAAATGTGTTGTTAAGTTCCTAAGTATTTGGGGATCTTTTGGATATTTTCTGTTCTTGGTTTCTAATTTAATTTCACTGTAGCTCAAGAAAATAATTTGGTTTCAATCTTTATAAATTTATTGAGATTTGTTTCATGGCCCAGAATACAGTCTATGCTAGCAAACATTCTGTGTGTACTTGAAAAGAATGGTTTCTCCTTCTATTGGGGGGAATGTTCTTTACAAGTGACCCTTGAACAATGCTGGTTTGAACTTTTAGGGTCCACTAGTCAACTGTATTTTCAATCTGTAGTTGGGAACTCTCGTATGCAGAGGGCCAACTTAAGTTATACTCAGATTTTTGACTGCACAGTGGTCAGCCCCTAACCCCCAGCTGTACCTGCCAAGCAGGCCAAGTTGGACGGTAGCGTTCTCACATCTTCTTTATCCTGCTGTTCTGTGCACTTCTATCAGTTCTTTGGAAAGCAGTGTTGAGATCTCTGCCTGTAATCATGAATTTGACTTTTCTCCTTTCAATTCTAGCACGTTTTTTGCTTTGTGTGTTTTGAAGCTCAGTTGTTGGGTGCATAGACAGTTAGGATTGTTATGACCCCTTAGTGAACCGACCCCTATGGCTATGTAGTGCTCCTCTTTATTCCTGGTTATATTCTTTGCTCTAAAACCCACTTTGCTTGATATCAATGTAGTCACTCCTGCTTTTTTAAAAAAATATATATCTTTATTGATTTCAGAGAGAGGAAGAGAGAGACAGAAACATCAATGACGAGAGAGTCATTGGCTGCCTCCTGCAGCCCCTCACAGGGACGGAGCCCACAACCTGGGCATGTGCCCTGACCAGGAATTGAACCTCGACCTCCTGTATCATAGGTCCATGCTCAACTGCTGAGCTACGCCGGCCAGGCTCCTGTTTTCTTTTTTTAAAAACTTTATTGATTGATTTTAGAGAGAGACAGAGAGAGAAAGAGGAACACCAATTTGTTGTTCCACTTATCTACGCACCCATTGGTTGATTCTTGTGTGTGCACTGACCCCGGCTCAAACCCGAGTCCTTGGCATATCAGGAGGATGCTCTAACCAACTTAGCTACCCAGCCACGGCCTGTATTTTATTTCTCACATTTTAAAAAATGAAAATTTTAGGGCCTGTGGAAATCTTAAATTTTGCCTAAAACAGAACAAAAGCTAAATGTTAGTAAAGTTATATTAAAAACATTGTTTAATATTGATACTGTTATGGTGGAAGGGGCCCATGGAACAAGGGGAGCCTTTAACGGCTTGCTCTGAGGAGCAGGTGTGGGGACTGAGACCCGGAGGCGCCGGGTGACCTGCCCGGGTCGCACC